CCCCCCCCAGCCCAGCCCCCAGGGAGCCTCTGGGTGAGAGGACACAGATCTGGACAGACACCCCAGCCCTAGGATCAGAGGGAGAGTGATCGGCCGGTGAGAAGTGGTGGGAGCATGCCAGGGAAGGCTGCAGGGAGGGGATAGCTGGGGTTTTGAGAGATAAATACGTTTTCCAGGGGGCAAAAGTGGCAGAAAAGACTGCAGGCAGGGGAGAAGTGGGGGTGGGGGTGGGGGTTACTTATGCCCAAGATGCTTTCTCACAAGGCTCTGGAAACTGTACAGCAGGAGGCCAGCACCATTAATCTGCCCATTATACAGGAGACCCAGAAAGGGGAGGCAACTTGCCTGCCATCACACAGCAAGTGAGTGGCAGAACCGTGGGCTCTTAAACTCTGTCCTCTGAGCCTCCTCACTCTCACCATGTTGTTCCCTCTGCCGAGAATACCTTTCCTTCCCTTAGCTGCTGCAAGTCTCCAGGGTCATCAACTGTGTGACCCTCCGGTCAGGACAGAAAGGGCCCCGGTGTGCAAGTGGGCCAAGAAAGGGCCCCAGTGTGCAAGTGGGCCAACATGAAACCTGACACGCTCTGGTACATTTAGGGTGGACTGTGATCCCAGCCTTCCTGGCCCCCCAAAGCAAATTTCCAACCAGGGCAGCTGCTCTTGTCTGTGGCTCGCTCCAGCACAAGAGGGAGGGGGGACAGAAGCCTGGGATCATATATTTAAAGCTATGCCACGTCCTCGCTGCGCCAGGAAGCCCAGGACCAAATCCAAGAGGGTAGGGAGATGGGAGGGGCTTCAGTCTGGTTCCTCAATTCCCGTCGCAAGGCACAGCTGGCCACGCCCCCAACCGAGGGATTCATCTTGAACCTTTTCAAGTTGCTGAGGCCACAAGACGGTTGTTGCCCCCCAACAGGGGTGGGTAGCCCTCCCAAAGGCAATGTCATTGCCCCGTGGGGATCTCTGTGAAGCAGGAAGCCCAGAGAGTGGCAACTTCCTGCCGAAGGGCACACGGCCAATCCACAAAGACCAGAACCCAGAGGTGTGCATGCAGCGTGCAGGAGAGAGAAAAAGGAAGTGCGTGGGGCTCTCCCTGCGGACAAGCAGGGCAGGCGTGAGTCTCACGCTCTATGCTACCCCCCGGCTTCCACTCCACAGTGTATCCAGCTGGGGGCCCAGGGCACTGAATGTTGGCCGGTCTTGCGGGCTCGGGGCCCAGCACAGCTTCATGAGCTCATGAACCTGAGGGGGTGCGAGGAGACAACAGGATCATACATGCAACTCCTATTCACCGTTTTAAAATGTAAATTCACCTCCATCCCTCCTCTGCTCCAAAGCCTCCCATGTCTCCCTACAGAACTTCGAACAAAATCTCATCCCCTCCCCTGTCTCCCTCCATCACCTGGTCTCTTGTTTCCTGCAGCCGCATCTGCCCCCATCTCATTATTTAAATGCACCAAACTCATTCCCACCTCAGGGCCTTTGTGCCTGCTGTGTCCTCCACCGAGAATGCCCTCTCCCGGCTCTCCCCAGGGGTGGGCTCCTCCTCCTCCCCTTTCAGGATCGCCCCCTCTAAGAGGCCCTCCCGGACTTATCACCCACCCTCATGTCCCCCTGTTCCTCTCTTTCCAGACACTGATAACCACCAGAATGTTCTTGTTAGCCTCTGCTGGTTACCAAGAGGACAGGATAGTATCTGTTCTGTCTGTATCTGTATCTGTATCTGTTCTGTCCTCTGCTGGGTCCCCAGCACCCCAGCACAAAGCCCAGCACACAGTCAGCACTCAGTAAACATTTGGGGCCTGGGCAGATCAATTTACAGATGACCAGCCTCACGTCATACACTTCCGCAAAAGTTGTGATGATCAACTGTAAGAGTCATTAACGTTTATGGACTCTAAACTGAGTACGGGAGAGGTGTTGACTTGCTTGACCTTCCCCCACCCCATAAGGCATTGTTACTCCCGTTTTGGAGATAGGTAAACTGAGGATCTGAGAGGATTTGTGACTTGGCATACAGCCACAGAACAGCCAGAATCCCCTTCAGCTTCACGCCCCAGGGTATGCTCTCCATCAAAAGGCAGCCATGGGTGGGGAAGTCCAAAGGGGCCAGCTGGCTGGTCCGGGGAAAATCTAGAGTGGGAAACTGAGGCAGGCCCTCCAGCGCTCACCTCACCGGGGCAGGCAGGAGGCGCGGGCAGCCTCTGGCCCTCAGCCAGCAGCTCCAGGAGGCGGCAGAGGGCGGGGACGTCTCGCTCCCATCCCATCATCCGGAGGAACTCCTAGGGCCAAAGGGAGCACCCGTGGTGGGGGAGGAGCCGCCCGAGACTGGGGCCAAGGGGCAGCCATAGTGAAGGCAGGGAGAAAATCACCCGCGGTGGAGAGAGAGGGCCTCTGTAAGGGAGAAGGAAGGGTCATCTGCGATGGAGGCAGAGGGGGCTGCCAGTGGTAGTGGGGGTCAGCCATAGTGAAGACGTCCTTCGCATTATAGACGGCCTATATAACGCTGGGACCAGTGACTGAGCAAATAGGGCACAAACAGGGCAGGGACGGGCCAGGAAGGGATGAGGGAGAGGAGGGTTACTGGGGATCCAGGGGCGCTGACTCACGGCTGAGGGGCTGCAATTCTTGTTGCCGTAGGTGAAAAGCTCGTACAGGACGACCCCGAAGCTCCAGACGTCCGACTGACGCGAGAAGATGTTGTCAGAGAGGGACTCTGGGGCGTACCTGGAGCGGGGGGACAAGGAGGTCTTGGGATGCGAGAGTGAGGCAGAGGACGGGAGAGGGGACAGCCTTGGGCTAGGGGAGCTGGTCAGTTGTAGGCGGGGTCATTTCCCCCCCCCCCCCCGCAATGTAGGAGGGCATTCCCGGCTCTGGGGGGAGGAGCTAGGACGGTGGGAGGGGCGGGGCCAGGACTGTGAAAGCCCCGGAGGGATCAGGGGAGAGGGAGAAGCGGGAGGCCTGGGCGGGGTCAGGACGGGGCCCAGGCTCCAGGGGGAGGGGCGGGGCCGATGCCGAGGGGGCGGGCCGGTGCGCTAGGAGGAGGGGCCAGGACGGCGGCAAGGGCGGGGCCGCGGCCGGCCCCCGAAGGCCGGAGCGAGGTGGGGGCCAGAGCAGTGGGGAGGAGAGGTAGGCCGGGGCGGGATCCCCACCAGAAGATGGGGCTCTGGCCGGGCTCGCGGACCACGTAGTAGTCTTTGTCGAGCGGCAGCAGCTTGGCGAGGCCAAAGTCGGCGATCTTGACGTGCGTCTCGCTCTCCACCAGGATGTTACGGGCCGCCAGGTCGCGGTGCACGCAGCGGCGGGAGCCCAGGTACTCCATGCCCTGCGGGCGACCACGAGGTGCGGACCCCAGCATAAGCCGCAGGGGCCCCAAGCCTGACCTGGGATCCAATCCCACAGACCCCAAGCCTGACCCTACCCTGGACCCATCCTGCACTCCAGCGCTGACCCTAGCCCTAACTCAACCGCTTCTCCGACCGGACCTAGGCTGCAAACTTCAACGTGCAGGCTTCCCCGCGACTCCACGCACACCCCCACCCGGGCCTAGCCACCTCAGGCCCCAGGTCCCCCCAGGCACGGCCCCGCACCTTGCAGATCTGCGAGGCGTAGAGGAGCAGGCGGCTGGCGTCGAGGCGCGCGCGGTGTCGCTGCAGGAAGTCGCGCAGGCAGCCGCTGGGCAGGTACTCCATCACCAGCCGCAGGCTCTGGCGGCCTGGGTGAAGCGGGGAGAGGCTGGGGGGAGTCACCACAGGGCCCAACTCTGTCCACCCCCCCTCTCCATTCTTCCTCCGCGGTCAGAGTATGACCCCGGGCCCCTCCCAGCCTCGGGATTGCTTTCTATACAATGGGAACCCCAACAACGACGCCTTTCATGGCCAATGGCTCTTGAGTACTTTCTACAATATACAATGATTCCCTTAAACCTCATAATGACCCATTTTTCGGGTGTGGAAATGGAAGCTTCCACGTTTGGGAAGTGGCTCACCCGGGCCATAGCTGACACCGCGGTACTTGACAATGAAGTCGCTGTGGAGGGCTTTGAGGATCTGGATCTCCCGCTGGAAGTCCCTCTGCTGATCTGGCCCGCTGTGCTGAAGCTGCTTCACAGCCACTAGGGCCCCCGTGTTGTCGCCCAGTGGGTCATAGCGGCACAGCTCCACGCTGCCAAAGTTGCCCTGGGGGACGGCGGGGCTGGTGTCCACGTGCAGGGGTGCTTCCCCGCCCAGCCCAGCCCAGCCCAGCCCAGCCCACCTCACCTTGCCTAGCTGTGAGATGTACTTGAGATGTCTCTCCTCAAAAATGGTAGGGTCCTGGCAGGCGTAGAGCTGGGCGCCATTCCACAGCCCATCACGGGGCGCCAAGGCACCAGGTGTGGGGTCTGAGAGGAGCTCATAATCTGCGGGGCACAGGTAAAGCGACCAGCACATTGAGTCCTGGGTCCCGCTCCTAAGCTGACTTGCTGTGGGACTTCGATCCGCCTGCTTACCCTCTCTGTGCATTATGGCAGGGCCACCGCAAGCCTAAGGGTACTTTGTGGGGGCTGGAAAAAGATGCTCGCTGGGCAAAGGCAGCCCCCTTAGGTGCCATGCAAGCTGTGCAACTACCCATAGCTCCGGGGCACAGGTAAAGCACTGGAGGAGCGCTGGCCTGGCCCACGGAAACCCAACATGGGGACCCTCCACAGTCTCCGTCTTGTCTGCAAAGGATCCGGCACGGGATGCATGGAGCCACACAGAGGGAGAGGTGCCTGTTGACCCGGACACCCTCATTGAATGAAAAGTAAATATCCATCACATTCAACCTAGAGCTGAGGCGGGGAGGGGTCTGTTTGTTACAGCAGCTGTTGAGGCTCATGCTGACTGTTACAGTCACCAACCACTCCAACCTTGCCAAGCACATAGGGCAGGCTCTGCGGGCAAATCTCCCTTCTTCCCTGCTCTGGGCGCGATATGACCTGCCAGCCCCGCCCACCCTGCCCGGCCCAGCGGGCACCTGAAGTGATGAGGCTGTTCAGGTCACGGATGATGGCGCGGAAGGAGGGCCTCTGGCCTGGCTCATAGGCCATGCACTGTTGGATCAGTGTGGCCAGCTCCATCCACTTGGGGGCAGGAAGGTGCTGCCGTTCCTCGTAAAACTGGAGCTTCTGAGGGTGGGTAGAGTGGCTGGTCATTGCCAGCGCACCCTCAGGAGGCCCCTCCAGACCAGCCCATCCTCCCCAAGCTGCCAAATAGGGGCTTTGGAGGCCACCACTGGTGCTCTGACCTTGGCAGGATCCAGGATACTGATGGGCATCGGGATCCCGCTGAACACTTCCCAGACTGTGGCACCGAAACCCCACTTGTCAGCTTCCAAGCCAAGGGTCCGGGCCTCCTGGAGACACTCAGGGGCCACCCAGGGGATCCTGTCAGTGAGCACTGGGGAGCGGGGCTGGGGTCAGGGATCTGCTCCCCGGCCCCACGAGGCCCCTGCCTCCACCCTTCCACACTTACTCTCCAGGCTCAGCACAGTGGGGCTGACACCAGGGTCACTCAACTTGATGAAGGGCAGGTTCCCGTCAGCCCCCTCCCGAGCCAAGAGCACCTTCCGGGCTGAGACATTGCCATGGGGGAGGCCTTTGTCTTCCTAAGGGGGCCGGACACAGAGAAATGCCAGGGAGGGTTTGATGGATGGATAGTCTGGCTGCAGGACTTCAAAGCCCACCTGTTACTGCTGAGACCACTCCCTGGACTACTGGTAGGTCCTCCCCTTCTCAAACGCACCCTGTGGCTCCCTGTTGCCTTCAGGGTAAGGTCAGAGGTTCTCAGCCTAGCCTTCAAGGCCCTTTGAGATACTTGCTCACTGTCCCTATGAGATTCTTCCACACCCCTACCCTGGTCTCCTGCCAGCCGAACTGCCTGATTCATGCCAGGACATGCAACACACCTTCTAATCTGCAGACCTTGGCCTGGGCTGTGCCTCCTTCTTTCTTCCCCTTAAGCTACTGTGCAACCTTCAAACCCCAGCTCCGGCCCTCTTCTGGCCTCCTGCCCAGGCTCATTGCTCCCTACGCCCCGGAGACCCACCAATGACCAGCTGCTCTTCCCTCCTCCTGCTCTTACACCTCTGAGCCCGTACGTAGGCTGTTCCGGCAGTCTCAAATGCCCCTCTTGGCCTCCTTGCCACACTCCTACGCATACCACAGAGCCCGCGCTCCATTCCCCCTCCATTCCATGAATGGAGGGTAGAGCGGGCAGAGGAACACTCACCAGATAGTTGAGGGCATAGGCCAGCTGTTTGATCACCTGCAGCTTCCAGCTGGCTGGTACCAGGTGGCCAGACTTGCGCAGATATGTATCCAGGGCTCCCAGGCGCACAAATTCCTGCACCATGACACCTGGTGGCAGCAGGGCGGGGCGGGGCTGGGAGGCGGGACTGCATCAGGGGTCCCGCGGGCTCTCAGTCCGAACCGTTCCCTCCATCCTTACTCGACGCACCCGTCCTCCTGGAAGGCGGTGAGCTCTCTCCAGAGCTCACTTCCGGCCCTTTGCGTGTTCCGCCGGGAACACGCCCCTTCCTCCTCTCCCCTCGTCCCTACTTACCCTTGCCTTCTCTGCCTCGAACTTACCCAGAATCACCGTCTAACCTCCAAGGCGGTCTAGCGGCCCCTGACCACCCACAGGGCGCCGCCCCCCAACACACATGATCCCGTATCTATCCCCCTGTCATGTTCCCCGCTATGCGCCCCGTGGGCAGGGGTGGGGACGAGGGTGGTGTCTCACTGTCTCCAGCCATGCACACGCCGTGGAGCAACACGAGGTGCTGATACGACACTTGGCTCATCAGGCTCGCTGCTTCCAGGAAGGACTGGGGAGAGGAGAAGGGAGAGAAGGCCCATGGGTTCCTCCCGCTCCAGGGTCACACCGAGGACCCCATACTCGCTGCTCGCAAATCGGCCTCAGGAAGAGACCTCGTCCCAAGCCTCCTTTGACCTTGGAGTCTGTCACCGGGGTACACAGCACTCTATCAAGGTTTTCTGGCGGGGGCTGGAAGTCCCTGCTGCAAAATCTGCGTTGGGTCTCTCACACGGAAGTGGGACATTTGGGGTTGAAAGCAGGCTCAAGCCTTCCCTGGGTGGCCCAGTCCCTGCTGACACTTCCATCTACCTCACTCCCCTCTTCTCTATCCACTGGCCTCTTCACGGTTCCTTTTTTTCTTTTTTTTTCCCAGTTGTATTTATTTAAGTCATGTCTACACCGCACGTGGGGCTCAAACTCATGACCCCCAAGATCGAGAGTCACATGTTCTTCCAACTGAGCCAGCCAGGTGCCCCCTCCTCACTGTTCCTTAAACATGCCGGGCACAACCCTGCCTCAGGACCTTTGCACTGGTTGTTTCTTCTGTTTGGTGTACTCTTTCTGTTTGCGTCTAAATCCTCTGACCCCTTCTGTATTTCATGGTTTGGAGATGCCGTGGCTACATTTCTGTCGTTTTAAGACCTGTGTGTGTTTAAATTTCCCTGCATCTACAACGCTCTCTCCAGCCAGTCCTGACCCCACACTCATGGTCCCCATCACCCTCACCTCCATGCAGTTTCTGTGCTTGGCATCCATCACTTTGAGTAGCACCTCTGTCTCCCGGGCTTCCCCGTCCACAGCCTCATGGCGACAACCTCGGTAAATCTTGGTGAAGGACCCATGACCCAGGTTCTCATGCTGGAAGAATAAGGGGGGTTCCTGGTGGGACCCTGGCCTCATTTTACAGATAATGAAACAGAGGCACAAGGAGGTCATGTCACATGCTTGAGGCCACACAGCAGAGGGTGTAGACAGGATGTGGACCCCAAAGGAGGCTCCCCCCCTCCACTTTCGGGGGCCGCTTACCCACTCCAGGCTGTCAGCAGGGATCTTGTGAAACGTCATCTGACTCAGCTGGCACTGGGATTGGGGCCAAACAAGGGATGATGTGGGAGTGCTGCAACCTCTCCGCACCACGATCAGGTTGGACTTTTCTATGGGGCGGAGGTAGTGGGGGAACAACCAAAGGCCAGAGGTGAAAGACCCCCTAAGGTTGGGTCACACCCTGTCTTAGTCTGGGGTCTCCCCCAGAAGCCAACCCTGAGGTCAGGACTCGAGTACATGATTTCTTTGAAAGGAGGCTCCAGGGGCCACCTGGGTGGCTCGGTTGGTTAAGTGTCTGACTTCAGCTCAGGTCACGATCTCACTCGGTTCGTGAGTTCGAGCCTCCCATCTGGCTCACTGCTATCAGCGTGGAGCCTGCTTTGGATCCTCTGCCCCTCCCCCCCTCTGCCCCTCCCCCGCTCGCTCTCTCTCTAAAAAATAAATTTAAATTTTTTTTTTCAACGTTTATTTATTTTTGGGACAGAGAGAGACCCAGGCATGAATGGGAGGGGGCAGAAGGAAGACACAGGAAACAGGCTCCAGGCTCTGAGCCATCAGCAGAGCCCCGGGCTCGAACTCCTGAGACCACAGATGTTGACCTGGCTGAAGTGGGACTAAACTAACAGCCTCGCCACCAAGCCCCCTCAAAAATAAATTTTAAAAACCTTTGAAAAAAATGAAAGGAGACTCCAGGAAGCCCCAGTGGGGGAGAGTGACCTATGCACCTAGTCTCAGTCCTAACTGAGATTCTGGAGAGACTCCGAGACCCCACCTCAGTTGTCCCCGCCAAGGGGTTTGTCTGAGAGTGAAAGTCACCCAGAGAAGAGGCAAGAGATGGGCCAGGAGAGAGAGACTCCTTCAGTGACACATCTCTCAGATCCCTTGATCTGGACCTAGTGGTGCCTGGTAACATCCATTCCACAGGCCAAAGAAGTCACCTCTTCACCCTAACCCAGCCCGGGCAATCTCTGCAGCTTGCCACACGAGGCAGGGCCCGGGGTCTTCTTGTGGGGAGAGCGGGCTCACCTTTGGGTCTGGGGCAGCAGGAGGTGAGGCTGTAGCCCCATCCGTGCAGCCCAGCATCCCAACCCAGGCTGCCAAGAGCTCGAAGACTGCTGTGTGGGGCGGCCGAGGCCAGCCAGGGAGAAGGTTCCAGTAGGGGTCACACGGATGAGGCAGCCCCTTGTAATCAGGACCCAGTGCAAAGGAGGAGTGGTCCCTCAGTAGGCGGGCAGCACCTTCTCCCCTCACCCCTCTCCCTTGAGCACCCACTGGCTCATTTCAAGCCCCAAGCCTTTGCATGTCTGTTCCCTTCTGGGAGGCCTCCCACTCCCAGCCCCTTCTTGGGGAGCAATGACTCTGTACAGGTCTCAGCTCAAATGTGGTTTCATGGGAAGCCCTCCTGCCTGGCTCCCGGTGGCGGACCGACCTGGGCATGAAGACAGTGAGGAGGAAGCTTCTTCGAGAAATCCTGGGGGGCTCACGTAGAGAACATGCCGAGGAAGGGAGCCCCGACATGAAGCTTGTTGATGGCAAAATCAGGCTGTAGAGAAAAGGTGGGAGAAAAGGCGGCTGAGGAAACACAGAGATGGAGGCAGAGAAGCGAAGCCAGACCGGTTCTAACCTGGTCCCCTCGGGAAGCCCTGGGACCCTCACCAGCTAACATCATCTCCTTCTATTTATAAAATGCCAAAAGTTGGGGCTTCCTACTAGGATTAAAGGGAGACTGCAGGTGGACCCTGTATCCCAGGAATGGGGCAGCTGGGCCCCTGAGGAATCAGAAGAGGGCAGCAGCTGCCCCGGACAGCAGAAGGGGGACCCCAACCTCCCTGGCCAACCATGCCCCAGGCTGTTCTAGCCTTGTCCAAGGCTCGGGAGGAAGGGTGAGGAGCACCGAGGGCACCCGAGAAGGGGAGTGGCCGGTCGAACCAGAGTTCTAGCTCGCGGGAGGGCATCTTGGTGACCTGCGTGATGGGACCGTGGCACTGCACAAGCCCACCTCCTCAGCAACCCCATGGCAAACCTCCTTGCAGGAAAGTGCCTGCCTGGGTCGAGTCAGCCCGGAGTAGCAGATCCGCAGCCACGAGGACAGGGCAGCGGGCAGCCAGGAACTTCGGCCTCCTGTGGTAGCGTCAGCCCCGGCCCGGACGGCAGTCCCAGCGTCCCTTGATTAGGCGGGGGGGGAGGGAGAGGGGTCCAGCACCCACCAGGATCTGGTTGTCGTCCTGGTGGCGGTGATGGCGGTGCTCCCGGTGAGGACCAACACGGACCTGCTTGATTGCTGATGTCTGGAAAATTCGCAGAAGGGCTGGAGGCCTGGGAGCGAGGAGGGCTGAAGCCGGTGTCTGTCCCCTCAGACCCCGATCCTTCTTGGAAGCCTGGACCCCACAAACCCACACCATAAGCTGACCTCTCGGCCTCCCCAGCCGCACCCCTTTCCCACCTGGCCTGTCAGAAGCCCAGGCCCCTTTAATCAATCACACCCCTTTCAACCCCCCCCCATCCCAAAGTCTCCCACCCCACCTCTGCCTAAGCCTCACCTCCCTCTGTCCGGTGGGTCCCACCCCTGAGCAGCACTTCCTCTCTGCTCCACCTCCAACTCCCAGTCTCTCTTAGAACACGGGCCCAGCCCCGCCATGATCCCTCCCTCCCTCCAAGTGGCCCAGCCCCATCTCTGCCCACCCAACCAGTCCCTTCCTCTAAGCCCATGCGTTTTTCATTTCCATACCCTTTCGCTCAGCCCCACCCCTGCAGCAGGCCTCTCGGAGCTCTCCTCTTTCCGCGCCTTACCCGCCCCACTCTCCCGCCCCTCCTTCCTAGGCTCCTCCCTGCCGTCCCTGGTCCCGCCCTGCTGACCCTCGCACACCTCGTGTCCTCCGGACTCCAGTGGATGCCGCTGTCACCAGCCACTGGAGCAGCCCGGGCATCTGACCACCAGCAGCCCAGGGAGGCTCACGAGGAAGGACTCGGCGGCCTGGCGGGTCCAGCTCTCCAGGTCCCATGATGTACTTAGCCTGGCGGAGTGCCTGCCATCAGCCTGGCAGGCGGTCCGCAGCGGCAGGCCCGGCGCACAGTCCTCGGACTTCCCGGCGTCCGCAGCTCAGGCCCTGGATCAGGTGGCGCGGGTCAGGCAGGCCTTGTAACTCTGAGTGGGGGGGGTAGCAGGTCGTCACTGGGGAGGATCTCCTGAGTATGGACGGGACGCATACAAACCAATTTTAGTTGAGGGCTGGCGTGTGGCCTCAGTTGGAGAACGCAGCCTACGGGGGTGGGGAGGACGTCAGAGATGGGGAGGGCAAACTGGGGCTGGGGCTGAGTTGGCCGAGATCCTGAGTCTATGAACACTGCAGACTTGTAGGTGGGAGGCCTTGGGAGCCCTCGGGGCCGGGCTCATGTGCCAGTGGAACCGTTTTCGACTCCCAGGCAGAGGCTGGGTATCACAGCCTGGAAGCCTGGCCGGTCTTCAGCAGCTCCTCAGGCTGCTGAGCCTGCTCCGCAGGCCATCGAGGTAGGTCCAGCACTGCCAGGCTGAGACATTCACCCTGCTCCCTTGAGACTGAGGCCCAGCTGGCCCGGCTCACAAGGTCACTTGGTTGCTGGGGGGCGGGGTCACAGCCACGACTATGGCCCTGATGTTGCCCTACAGACCCCACATGAGCTGACTCCACCCAGGGGCTGCTTCAGAGAGGTCAGCCAAAGCCACCCACGGGACCCTTGATGTTGCCCTGTGGATCCCCCACCTCTCCTACTCGGGCTGGGCCCCATGGGACCTACCTGGTAGAAGGGCTCTCCCGTGGCAAGTCAGGATGGCTAGCCAAGTCCTTCCATGGCAAGCGGTGGCATTTCTCAGCCCAAACCAGTTGGGGAAATGGCCTGTTGGGGAAGAAGCCTGGAGGCTGGGAGTACAGAGGCTGGAGGACAGTGCCAAGACCTCCCACAGAGCCCAGGGGTGCCACTGACTTGCTGCCCTTGGACCAAGGAACCTACACTCTCTGAGTTCCTCGTCTGCGAGATGAGCAGTGATCACATCCCTGGGGCACCCACGGAAAGCATGAGATGAGAAGGTTAATAGGATCGCTGTAAGCTTGATTTGAGTTTTTGAAATTTCTTTTCTTTTTTGTTTACTTATTTTTTGAAAGAGGAGTCAGGCGTGGGGAGGAGGGGGGGCAGAAAGGGGGGAGACACACAGAATCGGCGGGTTTCCAGGCTCACAGAGTTGTGCCTGGGAGCCCGGCCTTGAGCTTCTGGAACTCGTGAGTGGTGAGATCATAAGCCTGAGCTGAGGTCAGGACCACTCAACAGGCCTTTGAGCCACCCGGTACCTCTGATCACTGTTGTTTTCAGCCTCATGCCCTTTGGGGCACCGGGTAGCTCTGATTTAGACTCAGGTCGCCTGCAGCTCTGAGATGAACCCTTGCACTGAGCCTGCTGACAGACAGAGCATGCTTGAGATTCTCTCTCTCCCTCTCTCTTGGCCCTTCCTGCTGATTCTCTCTCTCTCTCTCTCTCTCTCTCTCTCTCTCTCTCTCTGTCTCTCTCAAAATAAATAAATAAACATAAAAAGAAACAAAAACAAAAGCAACTCCTGTGCCTCGAAAGTGCTGCCCCCCTCCTGGTAATTTAGCCCACCCCCTCTTGGGAATTAGGGTGATGTGTTTCCCTCTGCAGACCTGTAGAGCAGGACTTGGAGTTGCTTTGCATCCTCCCACCAGGAGAAGATGTGGCTCGGGGAGGTTGCCAGTGGGACAGGATCCTCCGTGTGGGAGCAAAGGGGTGGTGCACAGGCAGGACCTGGGGGGGCCCATCAGCGCCCTCTTAAGCTTCCCCTCCCTGCAGGGGCTGTGGTTACCTAACCCCATGCAGCGGAACCTCTTTTCCACCTTCAGCTCTGACACTCGTCCCGGCTGCCCACTTTGCCTCCAGGCTCCCTATAAGCCCTTAGGAGAATCCACCTGACCTGCATAGCCCCTCTCCCCAGAGGCCTCCCTCCATGTGCAATTTTACCTCAGGGATGACCAACTGTTTCTGCTCATGTGCCTCTGGGTCTTTGCACAGCCTTTCCTATGCACCTTCTTCCATTCAAACCCTTCCTCATCCCTCAAAACTGGCTCAATGCTGACTCCACTTGGTATGTTCCAGCTCAGTCTGGGCCCCCCCACAGCCCCACCGGCTCTTTGGCCAGCCATCTAAGGACCGACTCACCACTGGCCTTAGCAGCCCAAACACATAGCTCTTCAGCTGAATGGTCCCCAAAGGAGAAGGACAGGCGTTGTGGGGTCCGGGGCCCCGAGGGAACAGCAGCAATGCAGGGCACCAGCCTCTGAAGGCAGAGGCTGCAGGGCAGCTGAGGGGATCAGGGAAGATCTCCCTCACTTGGGCGCCATGGCCAACCTGTCTGGACACAGAAGGCAACCCTCAGGTCCTGGCCTACAGGAGAAAAAGACTACAAAGCTTCTTGGGGTGTCGGGGAGACGGAGATGCTGCTGGGTGAGGTGGGACAAGCGGTGAAAAGGGGAGAGAGGAACAGAGAGACAGAAGAAAGACAGAGATGGAGAAAAGAGGGGTGGGGAGCTGAGTGTGCAAGAGGGTGAGGAGTCAAGTCCCCAGGCAAGGGCTATGCTGGGGGCTGGAAGATACTCTACACCCTGTAATTCTTTTTTTCTTTTTTCTTTTCTTTTTTTTTTTTTTAGTGGTTAACACATATGGGTGTGAGTCTTGTCAGTGGCCAGGGGCAGGGCAATCAATCTATAGTCTCCACATATACCTTAGGGGCCAGGGTCACCTGGCGAATCTGCCTGAGCAATCCAGCTCCACAGATGCACAGATTTGCTGACCGGGAGAGCGATGGATGGCTTGTGTGTCTATGGGGGATTTAAGACGACAGTGATGGACCATCACTTCCTATGGATCTAGGAGACTCAAGCACTTCTGGGGCTGGGGCTGGAAGTGTTTGCATATGATGCAATGCCTGATGGCATGCATCAGATCCAGACTGATGTTGACTCAGTCGATAGGGACCTCCGTCTTGTCTGCCCACCACCACTACCACCCCTGTCCCCTTTATCACTCCCACTATTCCTTCCCGGAATGGGCCCAGGAAGAAACTGGCCCTCATCCCTTATTCCCAAAGCTCAGGACCCCTGGCTAGGCAGAGGGAACGGCTGGGCTTTGGGTCCTGCGAGAAAAGGGGAGTAGATGGACAAGATCCATTTACATTATTGACTCGAATAAAGGAGACACAAAAGAGAATGTGGGTAAAAAAAAAAAAAAAACAAAAAACAACACACAAAACTATGTACCAGAATAATAGTGGGGGTGGGGCAGCGTGTGAGCTTTAACCCCAGCATATAAGCCTAGAGCTGGAATAGGTGAAGACCCTAAGCTCTGGGTTCAAATCCCAACCCCACCATATCCAAGCTTTGTGACCTTGCCAGGGTTCCCATTGCTAGGACTCTTAGCTATGAAATGGGCTGACTCCCCGCCTGCCTTGGTTTGCTGAGCTGAGCCCCAAAGTCTCAACATTTTTGATTCTCACTAACTGGCACAATCCTTAGCAACATGCCGAGGGAGCAGTTAACAAAAGTCAGCTAAACCAGACAGGAAGGTCCCGTGGCAGGGCGGCTTAGCGGTTCCTATGGGGGAAGGAGGGCAGGCAGGGGAAGAGATCTTTCCCGTAGGGACACCCCAGTGTCACTAGCTTGAGACCTGGAGTCAGGACTTTCCCAGTCACTCTCAGGGTCAGGAATCAGGACTTTCCCAGGCCCAGGAGCCCTGGGCTGATCACTCTCTCCAGGATCACTTCTATTTTTTTTTTTCTTGAAACGTTTGTTTATTTATTTATTTGAGTGAGACAAAGTGCGAGTGGGGGGGGGGGGGGCAGAGAGCAAGGGAGACAGAATCCGAAGCAGGCTCCAGGCCCTGAGCTGTCAGCACAGCACCCGAGGCAGGACCCGAACCCACGAACCTGAGCCTGAGATCATGACCTGAACCGAAGTCGGAAGCTCAACCGACTGAGCCACCCAGGCAGCCCCCACCCCCCTTTCTTTTTTGATCACTTCCTAACAGCGACTTAATTGTGGTCTTCGTGGTCTTTCATGTAAACAGAATCAGGCAGTGTATCTTTCGTTTCAAATAAATCTTAAAGATACAGCCACATTTTAAATATTGAAGGTAAAAAAAGAAAAAGCCAGAGGGGGTGCTTGAAAATGCCCTTGTTTTAACTCCAAAAGTCCCATAGCCCCCGCAGTGGGTTGGTCACCCAATGCTCTGGCCTGGGGCCTGGGAGGGTGGAGGCTGGGAACTGTCCCTCCAGGGACGATGAACTCCAGGCTCGAGGCACAGTGATACATTCAGGTCCAGAGAGCTTGGAATTTGGGGTCTCATGTTATGCCGAACAAAGCTGAGGCCCAGAGAGGAGAGCGTTTGTCACAAGCCACAGAGCCAGCCCTCCCAGCTGTCTGTCTGGCAGCTTTCCTCAGAGGCCTTTCCTTTGTCCCCAGCCACAGCCATTCACACACTCCCCCCAACCCCCACCCCAGAGCCATGTGGCTCGCCAGCTCTTACCTGGCAGCGGGGGACCCTGGGCCAAGGACCGGAGGGCAGAGCCGGGAGGGAGGCAGCAGGAGGAAAGTCCCACCGGGCTCCTTCCTGTGTGGGCCCCTCGGCTTCCTGAGCTGCTGTCACTTACTGAAAGTCATGGCCATGTGGGGGATGGGGACGGGGAGGCAAGAGGGCTTGGCTAGGGAGGGGCAGACAGTTCCAGAAGCCTCCACAGCCCGGTGGCCCTCCTCAGACAGGCTGCTGGAGACCCTAGACCTACAGGAAGGAGCGACAGGACAGAGAAGGGCCCCGGTCACAGAGAGGCTCTCAGCTGGCTCCGGACTCACTCACCGTGGGGCCCTGGAAATGCCCCAGCTCCTAGGGCCTCAGTTTACCCATCCGTAGCACGATGGGGTGGGGTATGCAAAAGGACTAATTCTGCACCCAGGAAGGAAACAGGGAAGTTGCCCCAGATAAACGTCAAGTTCTTCTTCAGGGTACTTTCCCCATGAGATCCTAGGAGGAATAATGGGCCCCTTCCGTGCACCACGCTTTCTGCACAACGCTGTTTGCTCTGTGCACAACCCTAGAAACAGCTCTAACCAGGCAGACCAGGCCTGCCTTCAGGCTCACCTCACCCTCTGGTCGGTCAAGAAGATGATTACTAATTACAGATAATGAAGAAAACCAGGGTGGGGCACCCGAGTGGCTCCGTGGTTCCGGTTAAGTTCCTCTGTTGGAAACCAAGGTCTCAGCTCAAGTCGTGAACTCTCGGTTTGTGAGTTCAGGCCCCCATGTTGGGCTCTGTGTTGACCGTGTGAAGCCTGCTTAGAATTCTCTCTCCCTCTTTCTCTGCCCCTCCCTGGCTCTGCTCTCTCTGTCTCTCTCTCTCTCAAAATAAATAAATAAAACTTAAAAAGAATAAAAGAAAGAAAAAAGAAAACCAGGGTGATGAGACAGGCACAGGGTGGAGCTGGG